AGACAGGGAGCTAGAGTGGGGAGGGGGTGGCGGGGAAGAGGGAGAGGGAGAAGCATACTCCCTGCTGAGCAGGGAGCCATATGCAGGACTCAATCCCAGGACCCCAGGATCATGACCTGAGCTGAAGGCAGATGCTTAACCGACTGAGCCACCCAGGCGCCCCCTGGTGGGAAGTGATCTGTCGGAGAACTTAAGCTGGTCTCAGGGACCCAGCAATTCTTTTTTTCTTACTCTTCCTGACTCTCCTCCATTTACTTGTTTTGTCTCTGACTGATCCCCAGTGATGAGTTGTGCTCCTGGAAAGCTGCCCTGTGACATTTCTTCCCTTTTGTGTTCCTGATGATAGCATTTCCCCAGAGGTTCTCAAAGAGAAGGAGGGAGTGGAGGAGGCAATGCATGCCCCGGCAGTGCCATCCGGCCACGGAGCCTGGTGGTCCAGCTAAAGCTTTGAGCTCGAGTCCTTTCTGTTGTAGGGCCTCCGTCTGTGTGCACACGTGTGCAGAGGCATGTGCACACGCGCACACACACACACACACACACACAATGTATGGTTTAGAACAACTGTAAAATGATGGAAGTACCGGTTCCTCTGGCCCAGAGGGAGCTCAGTCGAGATTGCTAAGGCTGATTTGGGGGCTTCTCATTGTGGGTTCCCTGGCAGACGCACCCTATTGGTTTCCTTTGGCTGCTATAACACGGAACAACAAAGTGAGTGGCTTAACACAACACGGATTTATTATCTTATAGCTCTGGAGGTCCTAAAATCAAAGTGTTGGCAGGGCTATGCTCCTTTTGGAGGCTCTAGGGGAAGATCCATTTCCCTGGCCTTTCCAGCTTGGAGAGGCCACCCTCATTCCTTGGCTTGCGGCCCCTTCCTCCATCATCAGGGCCAGCACTGTAGCATCTTCATCTCTCTGTCTCTCAATCCTACACTCTGACATCACCACCCCCCCTCACCCTCCTTCTCCCTTTTCCCCTTGTGAGGATTCTTGTGATTACCTTGCGCCCACCCATTGCGCCAACCCAGGAATCCTCCATCTCAAGATCCTTAACTTTATCATATCTGTCAAGTCCCATTTGCCATATAAGGCAATATATTGACCACTTCTGAGGTTTAGGACATGGACCTCTTTGGGGGCCATTATTCTGTCTCATTTGCCAAGTGAAATGGGAGCATTCTTTCTGTGCTACCTCTGTACCCATCTCCGTGGGAGACAGTACATCACACTGGGGCCTGAAACTATTGAGATTCACACCCTGAGCTTCCCCCTCTTTGTAGTTCTGTGTTAGCTTGGGCAAGTCACCTGACCTCCCTGGGCCTAATTTCCTCATCTTTAAGATGGGTAAAATTTCACCGTGCTAAGTGAAGTCATGAATAGCATTGAAGTAATACAGTATGTCACTGGGTGAATAATAAACACCAAAAATAAATGGGAGAGACAGTTATAATTAGGGATGCCATATAGCATGATAGTTACAAACTCAGAGGGTCTCAGTTCAAATCCCAGTTCCACTACTTATGAATGAAATGGCCTCGGGCTAGTTGCTTTAGGCATTTGAGTCTCAGTGTTCTCATTTGTAAAATGGAAATAAAACGATTACCATTTGAACACATAGGGTTGTTGTGAGGATGAAATAATAATAACATGCAAAATGAGTCACCCAGAACATAATGGGTGGCTTCTGTGGTTGTAGTTAAAACCATCACTAGCATTGCCCATCCTCCCTGGGGGTAACCGAGAGACTTAGTGGGCTGCCTCTGGCCTCAGCAGAGCAAGGACGGTACGGGGCAACTTGCTGAATCCAGGGCCCTGAGAAATCCCACAGCACTGCTCCATCCTTGAGAGGATCAGAGCCTGGCTGGGCTAAGCCTTGAGGTGTCTGGTTTTGAGGTATCTCCCTACTGCAGAGCTGTTGGAGCTTACAGGAGCAGCCCGTTCTTTGAACTAAGAGCTCTCCAGGAGCTCCCAGGACAGAACCAGGGTTTAGAGATGGTGACCAGGACAGTGCAGAGGATGGGGCAAAATCCCCAGAGAAGGTGGGGCTGGTTCCTAGATGGCGTGGTCATCAGGGAAAGTGCAGAGCTTTGGTTTCAACCATATTATCATTTTTAAATTTTGCTGCAAAGCCGTTTCAATGAAGGCTTGGGCAGATGCCCAGTATGCAAAACACTTAAAAGCACAGCTGTTCTGGTTGAAACCAGGATGTGTGTGCGGGGGGGGCAACTCAGGCCTCCTTTTCACTTTACCAGAGGCCTCTAGGGGGCCCAAATTGAGGCAGAAAACTAACAGGGTGGCAAAAACACAGGCCTTGGAGTCAGACAGACCTGGGATTGCATCCCTGCCTCTGCCACTATCTAGCTGTGAACTTTGGGGTTTCATTTCACATGCTTGAGCCTCAGTCTTCTCATCTGAAAATGGGACCATAAATAGCAACCATCTCAAGCACTTGTGCAAACTGGAGATAGTAAGTGTCAAGTGCCTAGCATAGCGCACAGTAGGTGTCTAGGCATTTAGCAGGTGGTAGCTATTTTGATTTCCTAAGGGAGATCTGAATTAGAGACAGACCCTTTTAGAACATGTGCCTAAGCCTGGAAGCTGTGCTGTGGGGTAGATGTTCCTTGGGACTAGGAGCCAAAAGACCTGGGAAATATTGGGTCCTGATTCTACCACCAGCTCCTCTGTGACTTTAATCCCTATCTCCCTGAATCACTCTTTAGATGTTTATTGCCTACTATGTGCCAGGCGGTGTCCTAGGGGCTGGAACATAGGCCCTGGCACCTGAAAGGCCTAAGTTCCGGACTCAACTCTGCCACTTCCTAGCTCTTTGGCTATGAGCAACTCACTGCCCCTCTCTGGTCCTCACTTTCTCCATGTGTAAAGTGAGAGGATTGAACTTGTGTCATAGGATCTTCCCAGAAACGATCCAATGAGATCCTGCCAAAAAAAATTGTAGAACGTATTTGAACTTTACTCTCAGAGAGAGACATTCTGAGGCATGGGCTTCGGAATCATACAACCCTGGGTTTGAATTCTTTGTCTGCCACTTACTGCAAGGGACTTAATTTCTTGAGGCTCAGTTTCCTCATCTGTAAAATGGAAGTAATGATAGTCTCGTCAAAGGGTCATGGCGAGGATTGAAGGAGCTGATACATATAAAGTTTGCAGGAGAATAGCTGGGGCGTAGTCAGTTCCCAATAAATGATAGCTGCCATCGCCACTGCCACCACCATAACCATCGCCATCATCACCATCATTGTGATCACAATGACCGTGAACATCTATAAAGTGAAGCTCTAAATGATCGCTAAGACCCTGCCATTTTAAGTCCTACTTTTCCAGGGGAGAATTAAGTGACAAATGTAGTAGCTTGCTCTGGGCCATGTGAGTGGGACACTTTAGAGGAGGGTCCCCAGTAGAGAGAGTTCCCCTTCACTTTTCAGGTCTAATCAGATCTTGGTCTACTTGAAATTTCCTTTCCTTTTCCCATAGTAAGAAAGAATAGGACCCTTGAGATCTGGAACACTGGAAGCTATGGGAATTAACGTCTCTTTGTATATTTCTCCTTTTCATGGTTTTATTTTCTTGTTCATACAGTGATTTCACTTCAGATCTTTTGGGGGTGGGTCTTTGGCCGAGGCGCAATTGTCTGATTTAGACCTCCTATAATGTCCCAACTTCATCCCTCTCACACCACATGCTGCAAGGTGAGGCTTGGTGCATACCATCCTGGGTTAGCTATCAATTCCTTTCTCCCTCTGTCAAAACATTTGAATTGTAGGAGGTTATGGTATCCTAGCAGCCCACAACTTTGGTGTTCTTATTGTTGATTTTTATGTTTAGGAAAATTGGATAGTCATATCCTCATTTTACATTTGGGACTTGGAGACATTAAATGACTTTTCCAAGGTTGTATGGGGGCCAGAACTGGTTCCCAGAAATCTGTCAAATGCTTATTCAACTAAGCCCCTTAGAAATTTATGTTCGTTAAGCCTTTCATGCTCTGAATTCTGAGGCACTCAAGATACAGGTCAGAAATCTGAAGCAATGTGGGTGAGGCCAAGTCAGCTGGGCTGAGTTTTGGGGGTAAAAACCACTTGGAGCCTCCCACACGGGGGTCAGACTCTTCCCAGCAGAGAGGAACAGTGAAGGTCTGGGGGTGTGTGTGGGAAAGGGGCTGTGAACGCACAGCTCCTGGCTCTGAGAGTGAGCGACAATATTAGAACAAGTGTGTGGTAGGTAGGCTGTCACTGACTTCACTGTGTGATGTCGAGAAGTCCCGTCCCCCGCCCCCCGCTTCACTACTCCCCCTTCTCTGCTCAAACCATCCAATAACTTAACTTCGCTGCCTGAAGGTTCGCTTCCCGCCCATCCCTCCGCCGCCCGCCGCATCTTAGCGCTGTCCGCGGTGCTGATCGCCAATCTCTTGATTGCTGTTTCCACCAGCGGGGATCTCTGGTGCGCCCGACCTCTCCTCCTGGCCTCCCACCTCTCTTTCTCCAGGCACCTCACACATAAATCACGGGTGGGAGGTCGGCTTGGTTCCCCCTGCGCCGGGAAGCTGCTGCCCCCTCCCTTGCTCACACGGGGTTTTGCAGCAGTGGTGGCCGCTGCCACTGATTCGGGCACTGGGGAAACAATTGATTCGTCTACTGCCAGCAACCTGGAGTTGCCTACGCGGACGCGGACGCGGACAGACGACAGAGAGAAAGAGAAAGAAAGAGGAAAGGGGTGGGGGGAGAGGACTCGGAGCGAAAACCTTCTTCATCCATGTGGAGGGCGGTCTGAGGGAGCCACTGTCTGTGCCTTGTCCACAGACTGGTCTGAGTTTTCTCTTCTTCTGGCAGTGTTATTTCTTTTCGTCTTGGTCCTGCATGATTTAGGGGTAGTTGCTGTGTGCGTGTGTGTGTTTGTGCACGCGCGCCCGTGCCTGTGTGCATGCCGGCGCTTTGATTTTATTTTGGGAAGAGTAGGGGAATCAGATGAACTATTTTCTTTCAGGCACCTCCACTGAGCTTTCAAACCAAGTCATTGGGAGTTAGTGTCTTCCCACCCCGGAAGGGAAGGGAGGAGTTGGCAAGAATTTGGCTCACCCATTCCGTCTGCAGTCCTCTGGTGTGGAGGTAAGTGCTATTCTTCTAAACTGTGTAAATGGGCTAGGGGTATTGAGATCCCAGTTGGGATGAGGTGTGTACATGAGCTGGTGGGATAGAGGGTAGGTGGGGGGGGAGGGATGTCGAGGAATGACCACATTTATTTGCCCACATTCCGCAGTGTTTGATCGCCTAAGCGGCACCCCAAAGCTAAATGAGATTTCGGCTCAGTGCCCAGGGAGGGGGTAAAATATGCTCCTGTTTTAGGCAATGCGATCAAATTTGTGGCTTCTGCCCAATTTACCCTCTCCCTTGCAGCAGAAGCTGTTGAAAGTAGCCAGCAGTTCTCAGAGTGGATTAACCCTTCATGGGCTGGCCAGCCTGCATGGAGGGTCTCTGGATGTTCTGCTCTGTGGGTGGGCACCTTGGCCCTGGATGAGAGAGGGTCAGCTGAGGCTGAAAGGTTAACCCTTGCTGAGGGTCACCTAGGCACGCCAGGTGAGGCTTACATAGGACAGGGCTCAGACTGTACCATCTTCCAGGTATAGCTGAGTGATTCAAGTGTAGTGATTTTTGCAAGCTTGACTGTTCTAAGCTTCTTGAGATGGGAGATCTGGGAGCCATGAAAGGACCACATTTTGCTTGGAATGAGTGGTCAGGCAGCCCAGAGGGGAGCAGCCAGCAGCCCGCTGAGCAGACGATGTTTTATTTTCACAGGTGGTGCAACCTGTAAGTGATTGTATGGGGGGTGCATCCCTACACCAGCCTGGGGGACTCCATCCTGAGCCTGTCTCAGAGTAGACAAAGAAGGGAACAGAGTTTGTTCGGATTCTGGGGAAGGACCCCAGTTTCCGGCTTTGGATCTGTTCCAGGGCAGACCAAACCCCGCTCTGGTTGCTTTCTCTGAGATCCTGATGGGATAAGCTTGCACCAACCTGTTAGTGAGTGGGAAGTCGAGATTTCTTGTCACTGAATCCAAAAACTCACATTTAATTTTAAAACGCCTTTGCTGCTAATCTATGACCCATCAAAAGGAGATTTCTCTTTGCTTTCTGCTTTGATTACATCTACCTTTCTGGAAATGAATGTCTTTATTTTTAGCATCTTCACAATTATCTCAGGGGCCACTTCAGTCTTCTGCACCCCCAAGGATTTCTCTGTAGGATCTTGTTCTTGGAGGTGGGAGGAATAAAACATCAGCCCCAGAGACTGGCAAGCCTGCAATGTAAGCAGGGCCCACTCAATCATTTTCTCGGGTCCTGGAGCCAAGTGGGGATGCCGAAATCCCGGGGCATGTGCCTGCTCAGGGAGAGCATGTGAAGCAGAGGGGGTGGGCTGCTTGGTGGTTAGTGTCAAAGACGGGGTCCTCAAAATCCCACGCTTTTCTCACTGGGTGACCTTGAGGATTCTCAAACTAAGTTGCCTTAGTTTCCTCCCTGGGAAGCCTCAAGTAGGAATGACTGACATGCAGAAATTTGGTTCAGATAAGAAGCCACGAGATCTGGCCGTGGGTGAAATTTAAAATATTGAACTTTGTCATTCACTGGTCAAACTGGACGGCTGGGGCCCTGGAGTGGGGGCTCTTAGGAGTTCTCTATTGTGCTAAGTGTTAACCCTTTAATTGCTGGATTGTGGCGGGGGGGGTGGGGGTACTAGGAGAGTAGCGGGGAGCCCCAGGGGCCTCAGTGCAACATCGCCATCTGGTACAGGAGTATTTCATTGTTTTAACAACTGGTTCAGCCATGCAGAGCATGCATCCTAGCCCAGCTGAGGTTGCTGGGGCTGGGTTGTTAACATGTGGGTGCTTTGAAAACATCTCCTTGCTGCTTCTCAGCCTTACTTCCTTGGGGGTGGCTAAGATCCAAAAGGCTGCCCTCCCTCCTCCCCCATCACTTTTGAAATGGTGCATTGTGGTGCACCAGGGAGAGGGAAACAGAAGCTTCTGGAAGGAGGCTTGGGCTTGGACCAGGGGACCTGGGTTCCGGCCCCAGCTCTGCCTCCCCTTTCTGGGCCTCAGTTTCCCTGTGTGTGCAATGAGGCAGATGGTCTGGGTGACTCCGGGTCCCCTTCCAGCTCAGGTTCTGTGACTGTGTGATAGGAGTGTGTGTGGAGGCATGCCTCTAGGAAGGATGTGTACTGTGTTTGGGAATTTATCATGAGTGCTGAGGAGGCCTGTTTGGGGTGAGTCAGGACTGGGGGTCTCTTGTGAGAACTTTGCTAGGTTCCTAGAATCCTGTGCTCAGCTGGAGAGGGGTCTGCTTTATTCGTGGCCTCAGATACATAGACATACAGATATAGTAGCATTTGAAGGCTCTATAGAGACTTATCCCAGGGGTGGCAGCAAGGACCCCTTTGAGAATCTCCACTCTGAAAAGATGCGTATCCACACAAACACACAATACCCAGGGACTCGTGGACCCTCCCTAATGCTCATCTGAGCACCTCAAGTTCAGAACCTCTGATCTAGTCTGACCCCTTCAGGGGGGCCCAGAGAGGGAAAGCAACTTCTCTAAGACCACAATCATGGCCGAGCGACATACGCATCTGCTGTCATGAAGACAAGGCATCATCCCTTTCCTCCTGGCTCAGGCAGCCCCCACTCACCCCACCCAGCTGGTACAGAGGGAGGACATTCTGCGGTGTCTCTCTAGCCAGTGCTGGTGATTGGGAAGCATAGCTGTGGAGACAAATGTGGGCATTTCCTTTCTCACTGGTGGGAGAGATGCAGCCCCCGGAGGCTCTGCAATTCTAAAAGGTGGCCTGGGAAGACTCACCAGCTGGCTCTCCCTCTCCGCCTTTCCTCCTATAGCTCGTATACATTCAGGCCACCTGTCCAAGGCTATGAGTTCTTGTCGGGGTGGCTGTGCTGGGCGTTTATTTGTAGGATGTGGTATTTACTCTTTATTTACCGCCCCCCCGCCCATGTGGGTCATAGAGAGTTTGTGACTTTCTACTAAAAACCATCATGACATTCAGTCCCATCTCCTGTTCTTTATCCCCTTTGAGTGGGGAGCTGGTTGTAAAGGCAGATGAATCAGGAGTTGATGTGAAGACCACGAGAAGCAAACAGTGTGGTAGATTTCTGTTAAGGGCTGAGGCTGTAACCTGGGATAGAAAGATATCTGGGACCCAGTAGTGGTAGGCTGGAGCCGACGAACTTAAATTATTTAGCTGCCACCCAGGATGGAGCTCCCCTTGTGCTGGGACTGTGAAGGAGGTACCACAGAAATAGGCCCCTCTCCTTCCTGTTCCCCACCGCCTTCTGCCTTCTTAACCAGCTGTCTGAGGGGCTGCAGTGTGGGACTCTGGGAGAAGCCAAACCTGAGTTCAATTGTGACTCCAGCGCTTCCTTGCTGTGTGACTTCAGGCAAGACCCTTAACCTCTCTGAGCCTCAATTTCCTCAGTTAAGTATATTAAGGTAGTACGGCATGGAAATAGATCTCTTGGGTTTAGATCCTTACAGTTGGGTCACTTCACTTCTCTGAGGCTCAGTTTTCCCTTTGTAAAGTTGAAGATACTAAAGGATTTAGGAAAACTTTGAGTTAATGCTTGCAAAGTACTTAGTACTGATCCTGGGGGGAGTAAGTAAGCAACATATGTTAGCCATGGGGATGATGTTGGTGTTGGTAACAGTGACGTCACCCTGGACTGAAACAAGATTGGGGGAAGGTAGAGGAAGGTGAATCCTGTGGGCCAGCTCTGCAGCTTTGGGGCCCAGGAGAGAGAAGACAGGGCTTGGAGACAGGAGACTTCTGGTCCCACTTTTTCCCTCTGTGGTGCTTGTGCAGTTGGTGGTGGTCCCTGGAACCTCAGTTTCTGCATCTGTGAAATGGGCATCATGGCCTCCTTTCCTCGAAGCCCATGAAGCCCCGAGGAAGCAGGCCCTCGTGAGTGTGGTGGTCAGGCCCTGGAGAACGGGATCTGGGAGGAGAACCCCTACCAACTCCTCTGTCTTTTGTTCCTCCACATCCTTGGGAGGTTTTTGCTGAATCATTCCAACTCACCAGCTCAGAGCCCATGAGTTTCTTCTAGGAGACCTGAGCTTTCCCTGCCATGGTGCTAGTGCCTAGGGCATTGGAGGTGCCACAGGCAAGATCCTGAAGGGCCAAGGCTGTGCATCTCAATTTGTAAAGTCAAGGTTAGCACACGGCACTTGTTTAGCGGTGACCTGCATGCACACAGGAATAAATGAGTGGAACCTCAGTTGGTTGACTAGTGGACAGGTCAATTCGAGGAGGTGCCTTCGACCTATGGTCCAGCCCGAGGTCTGCATACAGTAGGCACTTAGTGTTGGTTGGTTCTGATGAGTCATTGGTGCCGAGTTTAGAAGGACTTGGCTTTCATCTCGGGTCTGTTACAGGTAAGGCTGGGCCTTTCTCTCCTCCTGCCAGAGCATCTTTGACACTCATGTACCATGTACTTATTGAGTACTTACGGTACACCTGGCACCATGGTGGGTATTGGGAATAAAATGGTGACAAAGACACCATCTCTTTTGGGACTTAGATTAAGTAAGTGGCTGCCTACAATGTGTAAGCATCGCGGGGTGGTACAGAGAGAGGGCTTCCTTAGTCACCCTTTTTGGGGGTGTTTTCACTTAACTCAATGACATCTGAAATTCCATTATTAAAGCTTTGTTTTTTTGTCTTAAGGCCTTGCTCTTGGACAAAGAGCAGATGCTTCAGATGGGATAACACATCTGGCCTTATTAGTCATTTACGCTTTACTGAGGAGGAGTTGGAAAATCCCTTCCAAAAAGTGAGGGGAGAGCTGTTTTGGAGTGGGGAGTGGAGTCTGCGCACACTGAGCTTGCAGGTTAAAGAAGGGACAAAAGGCAGGAAAGGCACGTGTTGCTGGATTCACCTTCTGCTGGGGGTAGAAAGCTCTCGATGTCTAAGAGAATCCAGGACAGATTCTCGGGATATGCCTTAGACCCCCTCCAGCAGACACTCTGAGTGCGGGGCCTTGAGACTTGTGTTTTTTCATACCTCCACTGCTATAGATAAAGGAGTGTTTTTGAAATGCAGAA